GGGGGGGGGGGGGGGGGGGGGGAGAAAGCTTCTCAAACTGGCGCGGGTGGCCAGGATGGTCCCACCAGCCCCGGAGCCCGCAACCTCCCCGGAGATGACGTCACCGCCAAGAGGTGCCGGGCCGCGGTGACATCATGGCCTCGCCGCTCCCCCCCACCCCCCGTCCCCTCCCCTCCCCTCCGCCGGGCGCGTCTTGTTTATACGCAGCGGCGCCTTTAAAACGCCGGGACGGCCCGGGATTGTCCAACGGGCCAATGAGGGGCGGCCTATGCAAACGAGCTCCAGTCCACCGGGCCCCGGGGATTGGCCCGACGCGCGCTGACGTCACACAACACACTTAACTGCCCCGCCCCCGGCGTGGAGGGCCGGCGGGAAAGGGGCGGCGCGCGGACGCGGTTGCAGGCCGGGCTCGGGGTCCCGGGGCTGCGGGGAGTTAAGGGGCCGCAGCGCCTCCAGGTCCTGAGTTCGAGCCCCGGGGCTGGCAGCCTGGATAAAAGAGCCAGGTTCAAACCCTGGGCCCCCCTCTTCCCCTTCCTGCTTTGTGGGGAAACAGTGTCTTCCTCCTGCGACTGTATGTTAAATTAGGCCTGGGAGGGGGGTGTGCAGTTAGCAAGCTCTCCTGGTCAATCCTTTTGGGGTCCCCCTCTGCCAGCCCCACACCCACCAACCCTTGCTGGGTGCCCTCTCTGGCTGTCCCTGACTGCCAGTCTTTCTTTTCCACCTGGATCCTCTTTCTTTTCCACCTCTTTTCCACCTGGATCCTCTTTCTTTTCCACCTTTTTCAAGCTGCTCTGCCACACCAGTTTCCAGGAGCTCTGTACTCAGCTCCACACACACACACCCCATCTTTGCCTACGGCCTAGATCCCCTGCCTTCCCCCCCCCCAGCTTCACCTCAGGCTATTTAATCTGCCTGTTACTATCCCTCCGCCCCCACCCCCCCCCGCAGGGAAAGTTCAGCCTTTTTATTTGTATTCATTTTCCTCATAGTCCTAGGGGCTTTTGAACTCAGGGCCTGGGGCTCTGGTTCCTTAGCTTTCACTACCCAAGACTGGTGTTCTAGCGCTTGAGCCACAGCTCTGACTTCGGGCTTCTTGGTGGTTTATTGGAGACAGAGAGTCTCATGGTCTTTCCTGCTTGACCTGGAATTGGAATCCTCATAGCTGGGATTAGAGGTGTGAGCCATGGGTGCCCAGTACACATCTTGCTTTTTTTTTTTTTTTTTTAACCTGGTAGGATTAATCCCACCTTGCCAGGAAAAGCAGTAGAGTATTTCCATGGGGCTCTTCTGCCACCTCTCCAGCCAGGCCATCACCTAGTCCTGGCCTGGCTCACTGGTACTGGATGCTCAAAGGAAAGGCTGTGGGAGGAGAGGCCCCTGGTCATAGTTGGTCAAGAGCTACCCTTCCCGGCCACATACACGCTTTTCTCTTTCCGCATCCTTCCATTTCCCTAGGCTGGGCCCAGTCCTGGAAGTCCTCAATAAATCCCAGAGACCAAAAGCTCTTGAGTATATGCAAAACACAGCCCAACTTTATCCAACTTCTGAATGTTTCCATAAAACCCAGAAATTCTGGACTTTGCTTCAAAATCCTGTACTTTGGAACACCCCCCCCCCATGTGGAGATAGAAACTGGCACTCCCAGCTCCTGCCTGCCCCCAGGAGGGGAGGTACTGTTCTCTTTCGCCATAAAGTGGGTCCAAGATGGGAAGTCTCTGCCCTTGCCACAGAACCCCAGAAGCCTGGCCGGCCTCCCGAGCTCCAGAACCACATGTGTGATGTCCTGATTTTGCCACTGCTTCTTGCAAATCTGTGGTGGAAGGCAAGGAAGGCCCTAGGGTCTCCTGCCAGGTCTGATCATCTCAGTGACCTCCACTATAGGGAGAAACTGAGGCAAAAAGCCCTATGTCTCTTTTTTTTGTCAGTCATAAGTCTTGAACTCTGGGCCTGGGCGCTGTCCCTCAGCTCTTCAGCTCAAGGCTAGCACTCTACCACTTGAGCCACTTACCAGGCTGGCTTTGAACCTCGATCCTCACACCTCAGCCTCCTGAGTAGCTAGGGTGACAGGTGTGAGCCACCGACATTATGTGTCACTTTTTTTTTTTTTTTTTTTTAACCTGGTAGGATT